ACATCACAAACTATAAGATGGGTATCACCGGGCTTTCCGTGGCTGTCAACAAGTACCAAGATCATCTCCCAGTCTCGAGGAGAACCGCAAGATGATGAGGTCTGAAATCCCGTCGACACAACCGGACCGAACCGAATGGCGAGGAGCTCGAACAATTTGTATCTCGACATGATGGTATCGTCATCCATGTTCCACCCGAGGATGCACAGCTCCCAAGGAGAGGAGGAGATGATGCTTGAAGTCTTCCGGTACAACGGATCGTGTCGTAATATGGTCCGGCCGCGAAGCTGCTGATGATTGCTGTTGGTTAGTTTTCCTCCCATCATTGACTTCATCTGTTGGTACCGTTACTGAGTAAAACATTCTTTATTAGATGGCGTCGCGCCACGTGCAAAGATGAACCAACACGATCTCGTCGCTTCCGATCTGCGCAGGAGGCCAGAAAAAGAGAGGTAAGCAGAGCTCTGAAGTTGTTGAAGCAGCAGAATGGTGGCGATACCGATGACGCTCGAGGGAGCCGCCAAGAAGGCTTTCGACTCCAATTCCATTACTCCCGGCACTCCCTTCATGGACATCTTGGCCTCGAGCTTGAGATACTGGTGCGCGTACAAGCTCAACACGGACCCAGCCTGGGCAAAGGTCAAGATCATCATCTCCGATGCAACAGTCCCCGGCGAGGGAGAACACAAGATCATGTCATTCGTGCGATCTCAACGCATCTCTCCCGATTACGACCCGAATACCCGACACGTCATTTACGGCCTCGATGCCGACTTGATTATGCTTGGTCTCGCAACTCACGAGCCTCACTTCCGAGTTCTGCGTGAGGATGTCTTCTTTCAAGATAGCAAGACCAAGATGTGCAAGCTTTGTGGACAAAAGGGCCACGAGGCTCGCGCTTGTCGTGGACAGGCCAAGGAGAAGGTCGGCGAATTTGACGAACAGGAGAAGAGCCCCACTTTGAAGCCCTTCATCTGGCTCCACGTTCCCATTCTGCGGGAGTACTTGGCCGTAGAGCTTAATGTCCCAGGTCTGCCCTTCCGCTTCGACCTGGAGAGAGCACTGGATGACTGGGTCTTCATGTGCTGTTTTGTTGGCAACGACTTTTTGCCTCACTTACCGGCACTGGAGATCCGTGAGAACGGAATCGACACGTTGACAGCCATTTGGAAAGACAACTTGCCATTCATGGGCGGCTATGTCACAAAGGACGGTCACGTCGACTTGGGTCGAGCGCAGTACATTCTCAATGGCCTAGCAAAGCAAGAGGACGCGATCTTCAAGAGGAGAAAGGAAACCGAAGATCGTAGAGAGGCCGGCTTCAAGCGGAGGAAGCTTCAAGAGGAGCAGCGTAACCCAAGGTTTGCCAAACCAAAGCAAGTCGACGATGCGTCTGCTGGCTTGAGCTTGTTTGCTGTGGCAGGAGGACCAAATGGCATCACCCACGACAAGGTGGTCGGTCGATCTTCGAACATGAATGCTAACACTGCCAACAAGAGTGCCGCAAGCGCTATACGGGACCAACTCAAAGGTTTGATGCCCAAGAATGAGCCCAGCCAGGAAGATGACTCGGCGAAGGCCACGAAGGAAGAGGTCCCTAAGTCAGCCGATGAGACCTCCGTACTGGGGAAACGCAAAGCCGAAGATGACTCGACAGCCAAGGCCGATTCCGCCGCGACAACCGCAAAGGGGCCCAGCACGTCCGCTGCCGAGGAGGCTGCGGTGGATCATGTCAGAATGTGGGAAGAGGGTTACGCCGATCGATACTACGAACAGAAGTTCCACGTTGATCGGAGCGATCTCGAGTTCCGGCACAAGGTTGCGCAGGCTTACGTGGAGGGCCTGTCGTGGGTTCTACTGTATTACTTCCAGGGCTGTCCCTCATGGGAATGGTACTACCCATACCATTATGCGCCCTTCGCTGCCGACTTTGTTGAGCTTGACAAGATGGATGTTCATTTCGAAAAGGGTCGGATCTCAAAGCCATTTGAGCAGTTGATGAGTGTGCTGCCTGCCGCTTCTCGCCACGCATTGCCCGAAGTCTTCCATGACCTTATGCTCAATGAAGATAGCAATGTCATCGACTTTTACCCGTCAGATTTCGAAATTGATCTGAACGGAAAGAAGATGGCATGGCAGGGAGTCGCACTGTTGCCGTTTATCGAAATGCCAAGGCTGCTCGCCGCCATCGAGACAAAGTACCCTCTCTTGAGTGAGGCAGACAAGGCGCGAAATGGCGTCGGAAGAGATGTGCTGCTCTTATCAGATGCTCACCACGAACTATATGATGAGATCACCACTGGTTTCTACTCTAAGAAAAAGGGAGCGCCGACGCTCAAGCTCAGTCCGCGGACCAGTGACGGTTTGGCTGGCAACATTGAGAAGATTCCTGACTATCTGCCTCACGGAGAGTTGGTATATCCCCTGGAGCGCGGTGGAATGCCGAATCTCGACTACGATAGGTCTCTAAGGTAAGTTGATATCGTAAAGGGTGAAGGTTGTCAGTTGCCGGGACTAACAGTGAAGCAGAGTCTGGTACACGTTCCCAGAAAGTTCGCACCCTCACAAGTCAATGCTGCTGCGCGGCGCCAAGCCTCCGGCTCCAGCTCTAGATCGCAACGATATTGAGACTCTGAAGGGGAAGTCAGCCCGAGGCGGGCGTGGCTATGGCGGAGTACCCTTTCAACGCGGCGGTGGACACCACAACGGCGGTCGGAGGGGGGGCCAGTTCAGTTACGCTCCTGATGGCGGACAGGGCCGCCAAGACCGGGGACCGCCCTCGTACGGAGGTAATGGTGGTGGTTATGGGCGGCAAGGATTCCAGTCGTCGGGGCTACCACCCACCCAGTCATCATGGCAACCTCCTCCCCCGGGGCACCCTGGGTTCGGAATGGGCCTACCACCGCCGCCCCCTCCAGCAGGATATGGAAACGACGGGCGAGCATCTAACGGTTCCTACCGTGGAGGAGGCTACAACCAGCACCAAAACTACGGACCACCACCACCACCAGGGCCACATTCGCAGTACAGCTATCCCGACGGAGGTCGGCAAGGGGGCCGTGGGGGCTACCAGGGCCGCGGCGGCTATGGCGGTGGACGCGGCGGCGGTGGAGGTGGAGGTGGCAGATATGGCGGCGGACGCAACAATTACTGATGTTTCGAGGGGAGTTGCTGCGGGAGATCAACGTGTCTACCGTGTATCCGCACAGGGGACTTTCACGACGAAAGCAGGAGGCTTGGAAACACGGGAATGGATGGATCGGTATCACCCGCATAGCGTACGAATAGTGTAGATGGGCGGGCATTGTAGACGAGTCGCCAGAGATATGGCGTGTTGCTCCGTGGAGCTAACTGCTGCTAGGTAGCGGAGATAGCGCCATAGGCTTGTGTCAATACCATTGTGGCAGCGATTCGTGGTTAACATACCTAGATAGTAAAGCCAGCTCCTGGAAGTGTTCAACGATGACGCATAGTGACCTGAAAAACATCCACCTTGGGTTATATTTGGCCATCCGTATTAGCAATAAGCTGTGAGCCCGAATTGACGGATGGCAGTTGTATCGGCCAAAGTTATAACGCGGGTGCTGACTGGCTGATATCATAAGAGCTCCAGCTTAGGTTGTCGGGGCTCAAAATTGAAACGCTGAGGCCCAAGTTTCCATAATCCATACGGTAAGGTAAGGTAAGGTGAGGCGCAGGTAAGCACGCAAGTGAGCATCCCCCCGCCGGTACTCACATTTTTTTAGGTTGACCTCCTGGCTAAGGTACCAGGCACTTTACCGCACCTCAGTCAGGGACAGGTCGAAGGTGACTGGCTGAGGTGGTGCTTGGCTTCAGATCAGCTGCCCCACGCCATCTTCCGGGCTCGGATTACCTTAACTACCTAAAGCCTCGAGGACCCAGAAGCAATTGGACCACCTCCCGTAGTGTCCGGAAATACATGTCACCTCTAGGTGCCTCAGGTCAAGTTGAAGATACAGAAGACACGGATTGATGTCTTTGATTTGCGGTTCTCCCATTAGGCCTTCCGACGGGAATGAGGCAAGGTAGCTCGGTAGGTACGTATAAGTTTACGTACCTACCGGCCTACCTTAAGGAGCACCGTAAGGTAAGGTACCTTAAATACCGAAGCTACGAGCTCCGACCTTACCTTAGCTTTTGGAGAATCTTGGCATCCCATCCCGTTCCGCGCACACCATCTCCACTCGCCTCACCCCGAAGGGGGAAGTACAGCTGGGACGTGACATTTGCTGCGTTGCATGGCGTTGCATGGCGTTTCATGCAGACCGGGCCACGACTATAGAGCTTATACTGGTAGGTATTCCTTTGGACAGACTGTAGGTAGGTGGTGATGTAAGATACGTGAGGTAGGTACGTAGGAACTTCTAAGTGGCATTAGCTGGACTCTTGCCCTTTTATGAGACAGAACCGTCTTACTTTGTCGTCCTCCCCAGGTCCACTTGCCCATCCATGTTGCGACTGCCCATTGGTCTCTTTGAAAGCTCCGTGGAAGTCGAGGTACCTTAATTAAGGTCAGGTCGCTATCAGGTAAGTAAGGTACGGTTCAAGACGTATTGCTGAGGTACCTATTTGTAAGTAAGGTAAGGTACTTCGCCTCAAAAGGCGACTAAACCCATCTCAGGTAGCAGCTCTGCTCGGCCGACGACGCTATCAGTGCTACCCCTCCACCTTCTCCCGGACTCCTGACATGGACGACTGTCAAACGCATGCAGGTGCATCTTTCGTCTTTTTTTCAATACATTTCTTTGCCTACCTCAAGGACGAAGAAGAGGGCGTCCCATTCGTCACCACCGCAAACCAAGCGGATGCCGATTCAACGCAAACTAGTCGCTCCCTATCGCCTAACTCGATTACTTTAATCCTTCTTTACCTCACCTTAGGTGGTACACCCCAGATCAGCGCATCGTTCGCTCTCCTGCCGGCTACCTCTCTTCGACGACGACTGCGACGACGACCAATTGGCCCTCTCGACCCAGCGATACCTCGGCTTTGCGCTCGTAGTCCGTCGCCATTGAGCTCCGCTGTACAGAACGTCTACGACCCTGGAACCACACAAGCCCATCGCAATACTCTGCCAAGTCATCACACTGCTTGAGCTGGAGGGAGGCGCAGAACACTGAGGACGCGCGCGTACGGTCATGAGCTTTATCGTTTTGGAGCGCAACATGAACGGCGATGCTGGTCTCGTCGGCTGCCTGGTCGATAGGCTTGCCACTAGAGTAAGTCGCTCCTTCCCTTTCTTTCGGACCTTGATCGTCAGATGCGACGCGCCCCCTCCTTCTCTTCCTTCTCTCGACTTGCTTGCGTATCCTGCTCTTGGAGACTTGACTGACAACATCTGCGCCCCTCTTAGCTCCCTCGGACAGGAACCCATGGGCAGGAGCTTCAGCAGGACGACGTTGTCCTCATCACGAGGTCGACACTGGTCAAAATCAGTACTCTGCCGTCGCCTTTGTTCTCGATTCCCTCGTCGCACTCCTCGAAGACATAATACGAAACTACAAGGGTCTCCCCCGCCCGCCATCCTCCTCATTTTCCTTTCC